TGCGCACTAACGGCTCTCTCTCCTTTTTCTGTCTTTGGTCAAATATCCCTTTCTCCAGCTTGAAATTACAAAATTAGGTTTAAAATTGCAACTTCCCCTCCACCATGCTCCAGACTCCAGCTTAAAGCCCCTGCCCCAGGCTGTCCTTCCTGTCCAGCCCCCCAACACCCAGCAAGTTACTTCTTACTGTGCATCATAATCCAAGTTTCAGTAAGGCAAAAAAATCCCTCTTTTCGCGGATGGACTGCCAGGAGCTGGCACAGCCTGTTAGGAACAGGCGCTAAATAAATCAGGAACGCGTAAGTGGGGCGTGCAGAGCTGACCTGCAGAAGGTCACTTCCCTGGAGTGCAATTATTGGGGCTCAGGGAGGGAGGTTTTTCTAGCTTCCTTTACTTGTTGCCAAATCCCTTTATATTCTCACTACTGAGCTTGAAAGAGACCCTCCCTCTCCCTCCTTGTGCATTTTCATTATAGAAGTCCCAGGAGGAGAGCAGAGCCCCGCCCTTGGCTTGGTCCCCTCACCCCCACCCCGAACACAGGGGGTCTCATGGAAGGCCCACAGGCTCTCCCCCATTCTCAGGCGTCTCTTTCTGCCCCCAGACCCTCCTCTCTGCCCCCAGCAGCTGGCCTGCCACCAAGCAGGTGCCGGGTTTGGGGCTGAGGATGGAGAAGCCGCCTGCTGGGTTCGGGGCCCCAACCCCCCCAGCCATCAGGGAGTGAGCAGCCATTTGGGGCTTCTGCCTAGGTCTCCTGTGATCATGCACACTGCCACTCTCCCGGGGCCCCATCTTGTGGAGCTCACCTGCGGGGGCCCATGAGCACACGGCTGCAGGTTGGGCAGGTGCTTCGGGGGCCCCAGAACTCACGGTTACAGGTTGGGCAGTGCAGGCGTCCCCGAGGGTTCGCTGCACCTGGGTCTCGTACTTTCCGAGCCCTAGTTAACCCTGTCCTACAGGGCTTCCCAATCCCCATTGCTCGGGACTGTCAGGCTCAGGCCCACGTGGAGGGAGGGACCCCAGTTGAATCAAGAGCCCAGACCTAACCATTCTTGCTCAGTTAGTGAAGCTGCAGTCTTCTATCCTGCGGTCATCAGGATACACACCTGGCTTGAGGGGCCCCAGATGGGGGGGTGGGGGTGGGGGTATCTGGTGGAATCTCCCCACAGTGGGGAAGAAGGCAGTCTGCAGGGAGGGGCCTGGGCGGGGGGCTGCATCAAACAACCATAAATGGGGTGGCTTCACACTATAGAAATGTGTTCTGTCTCAGTCTGGAGGCTGGAAATCCCAAACCAAGGTCGGCAGGGCTGTGCTCCCTCTGGAACCTGCAGGGAAGACTTGTGCCTTGCCTCCCCTGCTTCTGGAGCTGACCTGCGGTCCTTGGCATTCCTTGGCTTGTGGCTCCCTCTCCCCCATCTCTGCCCCTCTGGTCACTTGGCACTCTTCTCCCCGCACACCTGTCTTCTAAGAAGGACTCTCATTAAATTAGGAGCCAGAGTCCCCCCTGCTCCAGTATGGGCTCATCTCCACTTAGCCAATTATGTCTGCAATGACCCTACTTCCAAATAAGGTCAAATTCACTGGGGGTTAGGACTCGGACCTGGACTCGGACCTATCTTTTGGGGAACCCGGTTCAACCCCGGAACAGGGGGGAATGGAGACTGGTGACTGGCAGAGGGACTGAGCCACTGTGGGCAATGGGAGCCATGCGGGAAAGGGGCAGCCGGGAGGCAGCCGGGGCTGTGGGCTCACAGGAAGACACTGGTGTCTCCTGGCTCTGGGCACTGAGAGAGTCTGGGGCAGCGACACCCCACCGTGGCAAGCACATCTACGGTTGGACCCTAGAACGGCTCTCCACCAAGAAGAACCTGGGCTTGGGGGAGAAACAGCCGCTCCAGGGCTGGATCTGGGAAAGAACAGGATGAGCCTGGAACATTCCTTCCGCCACAAAGCCAGGATGTGCTCCCTGCATGCGGGGGACACAGCAGAACACAAAGGCCAGCTCTAAGGGCTCCGAGCACCAAGTCTGGGATAACGTGAACATCAAAGCAGGTCTAGGCCTACTGACCCACGTGGACACCCACCGGCTGGTAAGCAGGACTAGAGCAACACAGACCAGGAGGAGGAAGCATGCTTTGGGCTCCTTCAGCTCTGGAGCAGAGAGCAGCTCTGAGTGCAAGCTCCCTCCCTGGGCACTCTGGCCACATCACCACTCGGGCCGCTCGTGTGTGGCCTTGGCTGGGAAATGATAGAACGGGGTCTAACAGGAAGGTCGTGGGGCTCCCTCAAGGTTGTGGAGCACGTGGTGGGTCTTGGGAACTTACCTCCCACCTCATTCCCTGTCCACACTGCCTCTTGGATGCATCCAGGCTTTGCCATCTGCACATTTTGGATTCGGTGCGTTTCCCGTGCACTCTCCCAAACCCAACCCTCTTCTCCCAAGCCTCCTGGCCAGTCCTCAAACCTGCAAGTGCGCTTGGGAGCCGCCTCACGATGGCCACATGCCCCCTAACAGGGCTTTTACAAACGCATTATCTTTAATGAAATTCTTATTTCTTTGGGTAACACACACAGCCCACCTTCCTTGTAGAGGCTTAGAAACCCTCGAAAGGGACGGAGGAAGGCCGTTCTAGCCGTCCTGCGTCTCCCGGGGCCCAGAGCCCCGAGAAGCGCCTCCTGGAGGTGTTTCCACGAAGGGCACAGGCCTGCAGGAGGAAGCTCGCCTCAGTGTTGCTGCTGAGGCCCACCCAGCAACTCACGGGACAACTGCTAGGGCGAGTACTAGTATGGTCTCAGCGGGAAGATGCTGAGCGCAAGCCTGGGACTGCCCAGTGGGTGGGGCCACCGGAACATCTGGGGCAGGAGCCAGCCTCTACCCACCCGGTGCCGGCAAAACCCCTCCCTCCCCCAGACTGACAACCAGAAAGGTCTCCAGACATGGCCAAATGTCCCCTGGCAGGGATGACTGCTCCCGGCTGGGGCATCCTGGTCCCCCTTATGTGCGGTTTCACTCTGCCCAGCCCCCATCACCTGCGGTGGGCGGCGGCCCTGGCCTCACTTCCTCGGGTCACCCGGGCAGGTCATCCCCTCGAGTCCTCACAAGAAGCGCCCGTCCAGACGACAGGCTCTGGGAGAGCACACCGGTCCGGACATACTCAGCATCCGCCTGTCCTTCCCTTTTGTTCTTAGTGATGCGGCCTAATCGTCAAACTTCCCCATAGGTGCGGACACACAGGAAAAAACACAGTATACGCGGGGTTCAGCTCAATCCGCGCGCCCGGGGGTCCCCGGAGGCTCTGGAGCGCGTGCCCGTGAGGAAGCGGCTCCCGCCCTGAAGGCTAAGGTTTCATCGGGGGAAGCGGGCAGGAGCGGGAGGGATACGGTTCAGCCCGCACCAGGCGCCACGGTTTTAGAGCATGGAACCTTCGCGCTGAGGTCTAACCTGGTTGAAATTGAGTCCCTTGCGGTTCAGGCTGCCCCTTCTTCGCAGAGGCCTGCTGGAACTCTCCTTTGTTGTCACCCCCAAGCTCTCCTCCCCGGCGGTCCTGCTTTCTGCCGGCTTCCGGGGCCATGCGGCAGGCCACCACGGCGCTAGCTCTGTCCACTTCCTCCTCGTTGGCAAGATTTTACTAAGGATAATTTGGACCTTCAGTGGCCTCTTTAGGAAACGGAAGACCTCCCCAGACTGGTTCCTCCAAGACCTCTCTGTTCCCCTGCTTGCTTTTACCACCGCCAGCCTCCCTGCCTGTCCTTGAGTGTCCTTCAAACCCCAACCTCCTCCCTCCCTCCCTCCTTCCACTCCACCCTCAGCCCCTGCCCCCACTCAAACCCGAGGAGGCTGCCTGCCACCACTGGGGGCTCTCAGGGACACGGGGACCCTAACTGCACCAGTGAGGCTGGGAGGCTAGTTGGAAACACTGTTATTTCTATCCACTCAGGTGAGTTTCCACCCAGATGGCTGCTTGGCCACTCCGCAGCACCCCAACCAAAACTTAGTCCGCAGCCCATAAGACTACACATCCCGGCAAGAGAGAATCTTGAGGTGTCTTCCATAAACCTTGATGGGAAGCATTCCCCGGCATGTAGGGCAGGTGATCGCAAATTGTCTCATCTGCAGAAACACAATTCAGATAAAATTAGAAAGCAGGGCAAAGGGGAGAAGCAACTCTTTTATATAAACCAGAGAATTTTGTATTACTGTGTTTCTGCCTGGTTCGAGGCTAGAATTCTGGAAGAAAGCTCTACCGTATCTATTTGTACCTTTCTGGATATGTGTGTATACACTATTCTATGTATATATGACATTCTCTTACCTCTGGATAATGTTATCAAATTGATTTATAAAATCCCGCGGAGAAGCCTGTTCTATTCTAATTTGCTTACACATAAATAAGTGCTCACAGAAACAAAATATCCCTAACACTCTTATAAATAGAGAAACTAGCCAAATACTGTTCCAGTTTATGTGATTTGGGCAAGTCTTGGGTAAGTAAGACTAGTTTAATATTGTTAGTTTAATCAAAACAGCCGTGTCTCCTGCGTTGTCAGCCTTAAGTCTAACATGAGCACACATCTTTATTCTATTTGAGTTTGCCAGTCAGACAAGCTACCGTTATGTCCACTGGATGTCTAAGATTATAAAAATTATAAATTCACCCTAAGAGCAAGTGTACAAGGGGAAGATGCCATAAAAATGAGCTGCTCAACATGTGTATCAAGTGCAGCAGAAAAATGGGAAAAAAAAGTATTTAACATTCAAAAAATTTTTTTTCTGCTTTTGTGATTTTTGAGGGGTACTTTTTGAGGAGAATGCAGGGAGGATAGGACAGGCTTATGGAACTGGGGACTGGGGGCCAGGAGGGGAAGAGAGACAGATGGAGAAGTCTCAGCTTTACAGCCGGGGAGGGGCCCATGACCTCAGAGAGACCTCTGAAGGTGAGACCAGAAACGGGGGAGGGGTGGTGCGCAGGGGGGCACCTAGCTTCCTCCTGGAGTTTCCCCAAAGCCGCTGCTGGTTGGCTGGGTGAGGCCACCTCCTGGCCTGGGACTCAGGATCCCGCCTGGGGTCTGATAGCTACTCCGGAAAAAGGTGGAGACAAGAGAGCCCAGCCCCAACTTCCTCCTGCTGGGGCACAGGATACTGGGGGACAACTTCCTTGGCCGTGGGGGTAAGTGGCTGTGGTACCAGTTCACCGAAGGGGACCTGAGGCCAGTGGGTGAGTGAGGCGGGAGGGAGCCAGGCTGGCGAGGGCTCAGCCCTGGAGGGCCAGGGTCTGGGGAGGGGAGGCGGGAGCCTGAGTCTGGGGCACCCCGCAGGGGCCCACCCACATCGCCTCGTGTCCCCCCCAGGAACCATGAGAGGCATCCATCTCCTCCTGCTGGCCCTCCTGCTGCGCTCGGAGCTCGGTGAGCCATGGGGCACAGGGCCGGGGCCTGTGCTGGGGGGCATGGCTGGCAAGCCGCTGTGAGAGGCCCTGTGTGGGCTTGTGAGGGGTCTGTCCTCCATGATCCCTGAGGGTGGGGAGGAGCCCTCGAGCTGTGGTTCCGCCTGAAAGGGTCTAACTGCATCCTTCCTGCCGACCCGCCGGGCCAGCCCTGAGCCTTAGGTGCTACATGTGCGTTGATATGAACAACAGTCCATGCCAGTCCATCCAGTGTCAGATACACAGTGTCTGCTACACTGGTAACCTGACTGTGACCGCGGAGGAAGGTGAGTCCCCAGCACCCGGGGCGGGGGGTGGTCCAGGGAGCTCTGCTCTGAGGCTCCCCCAGCCTCTCAGAGGAGCGTGGGTTTGGCAGGGGCCACTCTCCAGCCTGCCTCAGTGTCCCCATCCTCATGGAGAGGGGCCGGCCTCCAGAGGCCTCCTCCTGGACGGGGCCGGATGGGACTCCAGCAGAGGGATGGAGGGCCAAGTGCCCCCAGGGAGCATGTGGCCCGAGGAGGCTGCGAGAGGCAGGGTGACCTCTCATGCCAGGCTTCTCCCTTCTTGCCCACAGGAACCCAGGTGAAGTACCAGCAGAAGGGGTGTGCCCCCTCCTGTAAGGAAGTTTCTAGTACATTGAAGCAGCTTTCGGAGATAAGCGGCCCGGGGAATCCAGGTGTGCTGGGCCTAGTTAAGCTTGAAGTGCAGGGTTTGATGTGCTGTGATAAGGACCTCTGTAATGGGGGTGCACAGCTCCTGGGTCCTGGCGGGGGGCTCCTGCTCAGCCTAGGGCCTGTCTTCCTCTGGGCCCTGCTGTGACCAGCCCTGACCCCAGCACAGGGCCTCGTTCTGAACAGAGTCTCACGCAGCAGGCACGCGAAGCAAGCTCGCTGTCCCACCCACGCACACATACATACATACATACCCACACGCCTGGGCACACACATGCACGCGCAGACCCCACCGACCCTCAGGCTCTCCTGCCCAACCCACCTGGCCAGCCCCAGCCTCAGGCCCCCAGTGCCCTGCTATGCCAACAAGCCTGTCCCATTTTGCAAACACCGTCAACCAACCACTGCTGCAAGATGCAGAGACTGCTACGCCCTGACCAGACGGACCTGTAGAAGAGCAAAGCCCACAGCCCAGCCCGGGGTCCTGCTCCCAGTGTGCCAGCCAGCCCCCGGAGAAAATAAACCCTTTCTGCATCCTCCTGTCCTCTGCTTGCCATTCGGTCCCCTAGGAAAGGGTTGGTGGCTCTCGTGGCCTGCCTGGGAGGGAGACTGCACTCAGCCAGGTGAGTGCCCATGGCCCCAGGGGCTAGGAGCAGTGGTCGGTTCTGGAGGGGCTAGCTCTGCACGGATGGGTGTGGCCCCCCTCGCCCCCATGAAGCGTTTCCTCCAATGCACACGACCTGCCCCCCCAGTCCCTCCTGGGAGCCTCCATCTGCCCAGGGCCTCCGGTGGCTGATGTGCTGGGGGGGGGGAAGGGGGGGCTTCAGCAGAGGTAGGTGGTGGTGGTGCTGGAAGAGCGGGTCTCAGCTGGTTTCTTTCCTCTTTCACACATTTTCTCTTTCACACATTTCCTCTTTCACGCATTTCCTCTTTCACGCATTTCCTCTTTCACGCATTTCCTCTTTCACGCATTCTTCCCCTCTGAGCCCCTGCCCCAAAGGGTGGACCCCGAAGCTCAGAGCCTCCCCCCACAAGCCCATAGGACCCTGCTCCTCCCCATGGGATGGAGATCCCAGAGCCTCATCTCCTCCCTAGGTCCCCCCAGTCACCTCTTCCAGGAAGAGAAGCCCCCTCCCCTCCCTGCCCCATCCAGAAAACCTGGAGTGTGGCCTCGGGAACTCCACGGGATTGTGAGGGTTGGGACTGTAGCACCTTGGAGACCAGGGCAGGGCCTTCCCTTCATAAGCAGGGAAACTGAGGCACAGGGAGCCTCATGCCAGTCTGTGCCAAAGACAAGGAACCAGAAGTGCCGCCCTGGCCCACCTGTGTCCTCTGTGCCTCCACAGAGTGGACCAAGTGACATCTCCCTCTGGTCCTTTCACTACTGAGCGGAAAAGCCTGGCAGACCCAGCCTCACCCCCAAAAAGGGTGTGGCCCCGCCCCAGGCTGGGTGCTGGAGGAAGTACAGGGCCTGGGGAAGGGGCACCAGCCCCACAGGGACAGGTTCTGGGGGCAGAGCAGGGCCTCTGATGTGTGGAAATCTGAAGCCTCTTTCCCAACACCCCTCCTTCCAGCATCTCCCAACTCGACCCCCCTACAGTGCTAGCCTCAACCCACACACCCTGTCTCTACACCCCAGGGGCGACCGAGGGACCGACCATGCCATGCAGTGGGGGAGGGCTCCAGAGTGAGTGTGCATGGGGGGAGCAGGGGGTGCTTTGTGGTCAGAGGGGTTTGAAGAACCACGTCCTGACCTCAGCCTACTGTCCCCCGGCGACCTTGGGCAAGGACCCACATCTGGCCTCAGTGAATTCACTCTGTTGTGACCAGGGCCTTCCGCGTGCGCCGGCAAGGGCCAAGGGGACACAGCTGGGTTCTGTCCCCTTGCAGCGGCTGTAGGCCGTAACCAGAGCCGCCGGCCCGTGTGCTCACCATGCCATGATCGCCTTGGGCTTTTTTAATCGATCCATCCTGATAAGTGGTACTAATTACTGCAAGTGTCTTAGCATGTGTCTTTTCTTTTTAATTGGTATATCATGATAACAGGCAAACTTTTTTTACTGTTAATATTCTTTTTTTTTTTTAAAGATTTTATTTATTTATTTGAGAGAGAGAATGAGAGACAGAGAGAGCTTGAGATGGGGAGGGTCAGAGGGAGAAGCAGACTCCCCGCTGAGCAGGGAGCCCGATGCGGGACTCGATCCCGGGACTCCGGGATCATGACCTGAGCCGAAGGCAGTCACTTAACCAACTGAGCCACCCAGGCGCCCCTTTACTGTTAATATTCTTAAATGTATTAGTGGGTTACCTAAAAATATTTTCTGTCAATATATGGAGAGATTTTCTTATGTTTCTTCTTAAAATTGCCAAGTTCTCCATTTTCAATTTGGGTTTTGATCCATTGAAAATGTGTTCTCCCTGACACCCCAGCCCTGACCCAACAGGGTCCGGGGCAGAGTTTATCTTTCTCTGATCTGCTGCCCAGACCCCCCCCCTTCCCACCACACCCCCTGCGGTCCCGGGAGGTAGGTGGGGAAGTGGCCTGTGACCATCCCCCCACTCTTATCTCCCATGGAGTCTACTCCATGCTGCTTTTATGTATGTATGTATGTATTTATTTACTTAAAGATTTTATCTATTCACTTGACAGACACAGGGAGAGAGGGAACACAAGCAGAGGGAGTGGGAGAGGGAGGAGCAGGCTCCTCGCTGAGCAGGGAGACCGACGCGGGGCTCCATCCCAGGACCCTGGGATCATGACCTGAGTCGAAGGCAGACGCTTAACCATCTGAGCCACCCAGGCGCCCCTCCATGCTGCTTTTAAAACGTTTCAGCGTTTCGTTCTGAAATAGGTTCACACTTAAAAAGAAGTTTCAAAAATAGTATAGAGTTCCTATATTCCCTTCAGTCCACTTTACCCGATATTAACTTCTTATGTAACCAGGGTCAAAAACAGGAAATCAGCATTGATGCAGACTCTCAAAGATCTGCACGGCACACACAGGGCTTTCCTGGGGTCCAGAGCCTAGTCCTGGGAGCGGCAGGACATCAGCGGTCCTCACCCTGGCCCGGCTTTCCACTCTTCCTGGCCACTCCACGGCCAGTGCCCATGGCAGGCTTCTAGGGTTCTCACTCCACCTCTTTCTAAGAACTTAATTAATCATAACTATTCCTGCTCTTGACAGTTGACACTTAACGAGGGTTTACCCACCTGTTTGTGACCTGGAAATGCCGGCCGGGGGTGGGGGGCTCCAGGCGCCACAAGAAGTGAGGTCCCAGGTCAGACCCCATTGCCCCCACCCCACCCCTATGGCCTGCCTTGGGCACCTACAGCCTGCCTTGGGCAGTTACTATCTGAGGGAGGCCCCGTGGGCACGGGCCCTGGTTAACAGTGGCCTCGGGAAAGCAGGCTGACGAGTCAAAGTGGGTCTTCCTGCCTGTGTGGATTCAGCGTCTGTCCTGCCCTGTCCTGCTGCACAGTTAGGAACACATGCCCCTCGGGCACTCCCCTTTCTGTGCCATGGCCGGGTGGCCTCGCTGGCCTCCCTGGGCCAGCTGCCGGGCACGACTGGCAGGGAGGCCAGCGGCGTGCCCAGGGTCGAGAGAGCAGGGTGCATGTGTGTGCGGTATGTGCACGGCGTGTCGAGCACAGTGTGTGAATGGGCGTCATGTGCTGTGTGTGTTCAGGGAGGGGACGTGATGCCAGCAGCGCTGTGTGGGTGGGCATCGGGGCAGAACAGGGCCCTCGTGGCCCTCCAGTGTCCCGTCCCCCGTAGGGCCTGGCCCAGCCTGAGCAGCAGAGGAAAGGCGAGGGGCACCGAGAGAGGGGGCTCTTTTGGCCTGGAAGGCAGCAGGCCAAGGGACTGGGCGCCCCACGTGGGGAGGGGCCGTCCCCAGCCCACCCAGAACGCGTGACTGAAGACCTCCCCAACCTCCTTGGCCATTCCCGCCTCGGCTGACGTGGGAGGAGGCTTCCTAGTGAGCAGATAAAATCTCTGCCAGGACGGGAGAGCCGGGGCAGAAACAATGCAGGAACTGAGCGCTCAAGGTCTTGGGGGGCCTGGCCAGAGCCTACCCTTCCTGAATGAGCTGCCCGCATTTCCAAAGCCGGAGGTGGGGGCCAGGAGAGGGTGGGGCTGGGGTGGAGGCGTGAAGCCCCCTCCCCGACCCTCCCCACCTATGGGGGAGCAGAAGGCAATCTGAGGACAAAGAGCAAGCTGACACCCCACAACCTCCCCCCACTCCTGGGTGGGGTACCCGTGACATTCCTCTGGGAAGCTCCCAACTGTCTAAACACTAACTCCTTTCTAGAGGGGAGAACAACCTTAGCTTGACAATGGCAAGGCCTCTGGTGTGAATCCTCTTTAACATATGAAAATCCTTCTGAAACCTCCCTTTTCCTTACCTCCTCCCACTCCCACCTGTCACAACTCCGGGGCACCAGCTCCTTCTGCCCACAGGCCCGCCCCTGGGCTTTAATAAAACCACCTTTTTGCACCAAAGACATCTCAAGAATTCTTTATTGGTCATCAGTCACGCGTTCTGGGTGGGCTGGGGGCGGCCCCACCCCACTAAACCTCACCTGCTTTCCCAAACTACATCAAAACCGCTTCCCCGCCTACAGGCGCCCAGAGCCCTGGTGGAGCACTGACCCGTGTCCACCCAGAGAGGGAGGGACAGCTGGGGGGGTCAGCTCAGGCTAAGAGCTGTCCTGGTCTGGGGCAGGTGGGAGGGGGAGCCTTCTGGAGGGGTAGAGCGAGGAGGACAGAGGCAGAGGCAGCCGGGGAGGAAGGGGACACCAGACAGGCTGGGGCTGGGGCCCCCGAGGGCGGGCAGCAGACCCCCGCGGAGCGCAACCGCGCACGAGTGGATGAGCAGCAGGTACCAGGAGAGGCAGGTAGAGTCAGACCAGAGGAGACAGGCGATCTGGAGGCTCCTGGCGGTCCCTACGGGGAGGGGTGCGCCTCCCCCGCTTGGGGCGGCAAAAGGCGGAGTTTCTGGCCTCCCCTCTCTGGGCATGCGCTGGAGAAAGCTCGTCCTTGCGAATTCCGTGTCGCCCCTTGGAGAAGTAGTTCCATCTCTTGGAGGGGTGACCGAGTGCGGTGCTGCTCAGGGCAATGCTCGTGAGCGGTGTTCTGGGTTGGCAGGAGATTCGGGCTTTATCTTTCTCAGCGTGGCTGTTTGCGGTCGGGCGCGCCTGAGTGCGCACAAAAGACCATCGCCCCCCGCCGTGACCCCTAACTTCAGGTCCTGGGGGCCCTGCTCCTTCAAACTTGGTGGCACCTTGGCACACCCAGTTCCCCGCCGGGCCTTGTCCGGGCTGGGGGGAGGCTGGTCCCTTCAGCCTCCTGCGCTGTCGCTGTGGAACCTCTGGTCCCCCTCCCTTCCCCACCGGCCACAGGTCCTGGCTGAGTGCTTTCTGACTCTTAGTGGTGATGTGGTTTTGGAATATAGGTGAGGTTTGGTGGGGTGGGGTCCGGAGCCCATGACCAAGAAAGAATTCTTGGGAGGTCTTTGGTGCAAAATGAGTGCTGGTTTT